TGAAACCAAAGAATGTAGTTCATCTGAGCACTTTCCATGGAATTAGCCATAGAGCAGCAAGAGGTATACCATATCCCGTCTGTAAGAGAGAGGTTAGAAGGTGTAAAATAATTCATCACACACAAGGATTCGGAGACAATTTTGAACACTATCGAGACTGTAAAGTGGGGACTGGACAGCTCCCTCACAAATATTACAACAGTACTCTATTTTCGACCTGAACTGGCTCTTCTACTTACTGTACAGAAACCGACTATTTTACCTGCAACTTTAGTGTACAAGAAAACAACTACGCGGGAGTCTATTATACAGAGCAACATTTCTCTGTTCAGAATATCTGTACACTCTGTCTACGATCTAAAGTTACAATCCGGAAACATAGGTATAGGATGAATGCACTATCTGTGCAGTATCTGTGCGCGACGGGAAAGGTATTAGACACAAAAAAATATTTGTTGGTTTGGCCAAAATATCCGTTCGCTTATTCAGTAGACCACTGATTTAAAAACCGAACTAACCTTTGTCTAACCCTATATATATATATATATATATATATATATATATATATATATATATATATTAATGAGGTGGAAAATTTACTTCCATTTTAATCCCCAAAACAAACCTACAAACCTTAATAACGCTTTTCACTTGAAATCCCAAAACACACCACCCAGCAATAAATTATTGGAACCCTTTGAAAAGGACTTAATTAATTTAATCAATAAAATATCTTTTAGAAAGAAATACAACTCATTCCAATCCAATTTTAAAAAGGGCATTACAAATATTAGAAACTAAAAAAAAAACTATGGATCAGAGCTGATAAATCCAAAAATATCTACAAGTTTAATCCATCGGAATACAATCATCTGATTCTGAATAAAATTTCTAACTCTTATAAAAAAAGATAATAACTCCAGGCACCTACCCCCCATACACAGAGAAACTGCTAAATTCGCATTTAAACATAATATTTCTGATAGAATGGGTACAACTCACTTGAAAGACGCCTACCTACTTTTTAAAGACCATAAACATAACTTTCAAAATAATATACATTCCAGACTAATAAATTCCTCCAAATCAGAGTTAGGAATAATGTCCAAAAATATTCTAAAAAAAATCACACATCTATATTAGAAATTTACCCCTCAAACTTTTGGAAAGATTCATCTGACGCCATTAACTGGTTCCAAAATATAAAAACAAAGCCACTTTTATCCAATTAGATATTATCGACTTCTACCCCTCCATTTCTAAAGATTTATTAGAAAATAGCTTAAATTTTGCTAAAAATTATACTGAAATTACTGATGAAGAAGTAAAAATCATAATGGATTCTAGACAGTCTATACTAAAACTTAATGACACAACTTGGATTAAAAATAACAGAGACAATTTCGATGTCTCATTGGAAGCATTTGATTCTGCTCAAATAGCAGACATAATAGGTATATACATTTTAGATATTCTGAGCAGATTCCTTAACCCCCAAAATGTAAGGCTCTACAGAGATGATGGACTCATTTTTATACCTAATTCCAATTGTCCTCTAACATCCCAACTACAGAAGAAATTGATTAAAGCATTCAAATTTCTAGGAATTAAAATCGAAATATCATCTAAATTAAAAATAGTAAATTTTCTAGACGTAACATTTGATCTCGACAATAACACTTATAAACCCTTCCAAAAGGAAAGCCAATCGCCCATATACATAAATATCGACTCAAACTACCCAAAAGCAATTACAAACCAAATTCCAAATACAGTAAATACAAGAATAAACAAACTATCTTCTAGTAAAACTATTTTAACCAAAATAAATCGACATACAATCAAGCCCTATTAAAAAGTGAATTTAAACAAACACTAAATTATATAGATAAATCAATTAATAACACATCCTCTAAGTCCAAAAATAGGCAAAGCAAGATTATATGGTTCAACCCGCCTTTCTGTAGACATTCGAATATTAATCTAGGGAAATACTTTCTTAAACTAATAGACAAACATTTTAGAAAAGATGAACTATTGCAAAAGATGTTCAACAAAATGAATTTAAAAATTAGTTATTCCTGCATGAGCAATGTAGAAAAAATTATTAGCTCTCACAATAGCAAATTTTTTAAACGAATTTCATAATAATCAACTACAAAAAGATCTTAAGGCAAACCAAAAGAACAAATCTACCTGTAATTGCAAGGAAGAATCCGTTTGTCCAGCAGAGGGAATATGCATAGCAGAAAACGTAATATACGAAGCTACAATTTTCCCAATGAAGATATTAAACAGAAGATATACATAGGAATATCGGTGGGAAATTGGAAGCAACGTTTTTATAACCAGTCCTTCACAAATAAATCTAAATTCACCAAACGGTACTGTCAAAACATTACAGCGATTTGTTGGAAAGCAGCTTAACCCCACAAGTAAAAAAAGAAAATCGTCTCAAGAGCTAGAACTCCAATAAATTTCAGAGACCGATGTGACTTGTGCATAAAGGAGAAGATCCTAAAAATAAAGATCATAAGAAGATCATAAAAATCCGGACATATTACTGAACAAACATAACGAGTTGGTTTTTAAATGTAGACATAAAAACCACCTCAATCTAACTCAATATATTTAGAAATAACTATATAAAAAGGAAAATAATACTTTTGGTTTTGAAATGAATGCATGAACACATGGATGCGGGTGCATAATCGTATGTACACAAAAATGTAGATGAACTTGGACATTGATATGTGATTTTATGTATGTATGTATGTATGTATGTATGTATGTATGTATGTATGGGCATTTTAGATCAGGGTGTATATATGCATTATGTGTATGTATGAATTGTATGCATGCATATATATATATATATATATATATATATATATATATATATATATATATATATATATATGCATATGTATGTGTATGAATATGTATGCATATGTATGAATATGTATGCATGTGTTGTGTATGGGCGCATGCGTAAGGTCTGGCTAGGTATTTTTGTATATATATATATATATATATATATATATTTATATATATATATATATATATATATATATATATATGCATATGTATATGTATGAATATGTATGCATGTGTTGTGTATATGCATGCGTAAGGGTCTAGGTATTTTTGTATATATATATATATATATATATATATTTATATATATATATATATATATATATATATATATGTATAGTGTCATGGATATGAAATTACATGTGGTCTATGTATGTGTGTATATGTATATGGATGTAAATATTTGAGAGTTAATATTTGTAATATGTGTGAATATATGTAAAATATAGTAATATAAATACATATGCATATGTGGATATTTATGGGTATAGATCTGTTTTTATATATATATATATATATATATATATATATATATATATATATATATGGAAAGTATTCCAATGGAAGAAGATAAAGTCATTTTATTGAAGTTTTTAAAATTACTTTTATTAATATTTAATCTCACTTTTTCTTTTAATATTCTCTAATTAGAATTGTGAGATTGAATATTTATTATCTGGAGGTATTTTCATTTTAAATTGATAATGTAATTTAAATTTAAATATATCAATCTTTAACTATCAATATTGATAGTAAAATATTAAATTAGAAATATTTATTTGGATATTTAAACACTTAAGTCATCACCTAACTAAAGAAATTTAAATATAAAAATATATGTAATTATTTGTAAATGTATGTGTATGTAATTTATGTATGAATATGTATAGGTACCTGTGTATATCGATACATGTGTGTCTATGTGTGTAACTGCGCATGTAAATGAACGTATGTATATATAGGATTTGCATAAGTATGTATGTGGTATATATATGAAAAAAGCAAAATCTTTAATATTACCTTCAAATATTACTCCATCTTTATTCGAAACCTAAACTTTAAGTAAGAAAGATTAACCATCTAAAAATAATTACAAATTACATTCATAAATTAGATTCGAACTTATAAAGAAGTTACCGTAACTGTCTTTTACAATATTAAAAAAGTAAGATTGGTCGGGCAAACAAACTGTTATAGTTTATTTTTTTATTTATTTTTTTAGTATGTTCTCTATAAATGTGTTAATAAATACAGTATTTAACTTATATTAAATCCCTAAATTATTTATAAAAAGTTAATTATTTAAATTGCTAGCAAGCATCAAATTAATTTCTTCGGGCTTTTTTTTAGACATCTAAATTACTAAAGGCATTAAAATCTATTTTTAAAAGTAATTTACATTTACAGCCTCTTTCTCTTTACTTCCCTCTCCCTCTTCTTTCTTTTTCCTTTTTCTTTTCTCTCCTCTCCTCTCCCATTTCAGTATATCACTTCCGTTGAGTTAACCGTCTAAATAGGTCAAGGTCTGGTCACTTCTCCTCCCCCAATACTAAGTATGATTAAGAGAGATATGAAATTAAACCCTCCCTAAATTCTACCAAGTCTCTTTAACTGCCCCTTTTACACTCTCTGTTAAATTACAAAAAATTACACTAAGCATCAATTTTCATTTCATTTTTCGTTTCATTTTTGGAAGTGCTATCTGATCATCCGGCGTCTTTAAAAGGGCTCTGATGAAATAAATTATAAGGGGTACCTAAAAGTGGTCTGTTTTTTTAAATATATATATATATATATATATATATATATATATATATGCATTTTTTTATATATTATTTATATATTATATATGCGCGGTACTTATTGGAAAACGCTCAATATCCGTGATAAACCTAACATATTTAGTTGGATTGATGTGAGTTTGTGACTCTGGGTTTCGCGCCCTTTAAGATCGTCAGGGTCACAAACTCACATCAATCCAACTATATATATATATGTGTGTGTGTGTGTGTGTGTGTGTGTGTGTGTGTGTGTGTGTGTGTGTATGTGTCTCTGTGTGTAAAGAGACATGCTTTAATAACGTCAATTCATGAAAATTAAATTTTCGTTTTTATATAGGCTTACAGCCACATCAAATTGAAATACTGGTTCCCGTACGACCACCGGAGTTAAACAACTTTGAGCCTGTTCAGTACCGAGATGGGTGACCGCTTCGGAATACAAGATACTGTAAGCTTGGTTGTACGAGTAAGTATAATCGATAATGGCTCGTAATGATTAATCGGAGAATGGAATTCCAATACCTTTTGGTTTTGTTATATTCACGTACGCGCAAACACCGTTGCTAAATGTAGAAATTCACCACTTCTTCCCTAGCCATGGGTTAATTAGTAAGAATTCTCTCACTATACCATTATTATCTCCAAAATAATAAAAAAAGATTCTCACAATTTAAAAATATTTTTCTGGCTTTAAATAACGAATCTCTCAATCAATCTTTATTACATGTAAATTGCTACCTGCTCACGAGACAGATAGTGATATACTGTCGCTTTTGAATTTAGAATTTTCCTTTTCATATACTGTCTTGTTCTACTGCTATTTCTAATGTTTAGAAAAATGGCCTGAATAAGAGCCAAATTAAAAATTCTGAAGCGATGAACTTTTGTTGGTTTTCTCATTGGTCAGTTACTTGCATTAAAACCGTAGATAAATCTATATGTATGTAAGTTTGTAAAGATTCTTGTATGTCTAAGCAGACATCGGATGGTAATGGATATTCGTAATTGTGTATGTGTGTCTGTCTAGTAAGAGTAGTTCTGATGTCTTCATCTTTGTGCGGTCCACCGGCGCAGTGGTCTGGTATTCCACTTTAATCTGGGACTGTTCTTTATTATTCGCATACTCTTTGTATTAGAGATATTTAAGCTAGATTCTATAAGAATTGATTCAAAGAATGATGGCGATTTAATGTAATGTTTTAGGCGTGTGTTTATAGTTGCTTCTAATGTTATTATTAAGCTTCCAAAGTATTTTCTCCTTAAAGAATTATGTTCTCCTTTAATTAGGGTGACATTAGTGAAATCAAATTTACGTCTAGCATCGTTCGAGAAATTTAGATCGCTTATGCAAACGCAAAACTCTTGCGTTCGTAGATATGGGTTTTTAGATTACGTGATGTCTTCCATTACTACTACTGTACTGTACTGATGCGGCATTCACCCTGTTATGAGAAGAAGATTCTTGGGATAAATTACAGAAGTAGGGTACCCAGGCCTACTCGGATAACGTTCTTGCTTGCCGCGGGGTTCCCACAGACGCAGAGACAGGAACGACCAGAAGCCGCCGGTTACCGATGCAGACGCTACTTGGATTTTCACCAGAGCCATTGTTAGCCGGCGTGTGTGTCAGACCTGTCCGCCTTGGGTGGCCCTACCAGGAACGAAGTTCCGGGCGGCATAGCTCTGACACTACCGTTTACACCCCCCACCGACTGTGAGGTAAGGGTTGGACTTTGTGGGCTTACAGTACCAGGTGTTCCCAAGCGGTCCCCCATCTAAGTACTGACCTAGCTCTACGATGCTTAACTTCGGTGATCGTACGAGAGCCGGTGTTTCAGCGTGATTTGACCGTAAGCGATGTCTTCCATTAACATTTTTCCATTGTAAACAATTTATTTGATAAATTCCAGCATTGGTGTTGGTTTTATTTTTCTTCATAATTATATCTCCGGTTGTCAAGGAAGAGGTGCTAACTATACTAGTATTAGGGAGGGCTAATTTGTTTGCGACTTTAGTAGAAAGAGTGTTGGCGGACAGGAATATGAATTTTGTGTAATTCTTGTTAGAAGTGTTATTAGTGGTGCCTAATTCTGGGCTCTTTGGATTTTGTAAGCTCGTTTTTATAAATTTGAAGATGAAATGGTGTGAGTAGTGAAGTCCGAATGTTTTCTCAGCACATTTCGCTTCTTCATTTAGGTATTCAGGGCTACATATCCGAAGTTATATATATATATATATATATATATATATATATATTATATATATATATATAAAATATATATATATATATATAAATATATTCAGACAAAAAAAGTTAAAAAAATTAAAAATGTTCTTTCGTTGAGTTGTAGATTTAATTTCTTTCGTTTTGTTTTATTATTTCATTTATTATATATATATATATATATATATATATGCTCCCAGAAATGCGGTTGAGCTGAATTGATTCTATGAGCTGCTGGTGTGTTTCGTATAGAGAAAGAGGTTAAAATTCCCTTCCTGCCGTGTGACGATGACTTAGAGATAAGAGATCTGACTGATATCAAGTCAGTCGGGCTTCGATCCCGGCTTGAAGTATTCGGACGTCTAGCCGCACTGAAGAGTTGTGATCCAGCGAAACAATCTCTCTGTGGATGACTATATATATATATATATATATATATATATATATATATATATATATATATATATATTTGATTTGTTTGTTTAACGGTGTATTAACCACTTATGGCTCATTCAATGCCGAAAGTTAGTTTTCTTGGGAACTTTGAAGTAATAAAAATATGACATAAGTTATTCTGCTTTCACAGTTGTATACATGGTAGATAATACTCAGCTTTTGTGCATATACATGTTTGTGCGAACATAATTCCTAGAGGCGGTGATACATGTGTGTTTATGTTGTAGTTTTGTTGAAGTTATATTTTAGAATACAGTTTGATCACCTTAAGTAATTGTAAGATATTATATGAAATAATGTCATGAAAGCTTTCCTTCGGATTGGTTGTTTGATTATTTAGCGCCATATCGACCTCTATGGGTTATTTAATACCGAGCTTTAAATGTCTTGAATGCAATTTTATGGCTTCAAGTAAATATATTTCAAAGGCAATAGTATGCCTTGGACTACAGATAAAATTTTGCTATAAATATATAGTGTTGGTCATTTTGCTATAAATATGTATTTTATACTTTCATGGTATTTTCTTATTATTTTCCCATAGATGAGATTCTAACTGGTGCTACCACCCCGGGCCAGGGTGGATCTGGGAACAACAGTAATTAAGAGTTGGTTCCAGGCCCCTCAAAACCTCCAGTCATTAGAACATCTTATGAAAAACCATAAATATAATAACGACAGATATATATATATATATATATATATATATATATATATATATATATAGTGTGTGTGTGTGTGTGTGTGTGTTTTGCATATAAAATTGCGTCTCATTTTCATCTATTTTCACTTTCAACGCAAAAACATTTAAATTTCACAAAACAAACAGCGATCGGCTAGGAAATCAGTTGAAATAACGGCTTTCAGAATATATATATATATATATATATATATATATATATATATATATATATATATATATGAATGTGTGTGTGTGTGTGTGTGTGTATTCTGTTTTCGATCAATTTTTAACGAGATAGCGTATGTAAATATAAATATAAAAGTGAACATTGAAGTCAACATTTAGAGGCAACAGGCTGTTTCATGCTAGACGCAATCGTCAGGCAGCCGCATGAAAGAGCCTGTTGACTTTTTATATTTATATTTATATTTACATACGCTCTATCTCTGATATTGAGCACTTTATCCCACAGCACACCTTAAAACTATATATATATATATATATATATATATATATATATATATATATATATATATATAGTACGATGGGTAAATTGTTGCCATTTTATATTTTTAATTTCGCGCATGTGCGTTGTTTGTATTTGATTTTGTCGGCTACATAGTAAAGTAGCGTCAGTTGGGTATTGTCTGTGAGAAAAAGAGGACTATGACGCATTTGACTCCGCCAGAAATTTGGAAACGGAATGCTGTACCGATTCGCACCGGAAGTTCCAATAGGAAATATCAGATTGTTTGGGTGTCAAGCTGAGGACAGTGTATAGAAAGAGTTGGATGAGTCTAATGGTGATTACGAATGTACGACAGATGGAAAAACTCATTTTGATCGTTTTGATGAGAAAAGAACTCCCGGATGTGTTGGTGAGAAGCAGGAGATTCTGAAGTCTTCTGTCGGCCATAATTGAAGCCAATGGAGATTGTATTGAATAAAATGAAATATTTGATAAATATAGGTGTTAAAAGAAATGCCAATGTTATATTTATTTTTGCTTATATATATATATATATATATATATATATATATATATATATATGTGTGTGTGTGTGTGTGTGTGTGTGTGTGTGTGTGTGTGACGTGAAGTCGGGGGTAACTGAAATGTTTCTACTTTTTTCCAGCCTCATATAAAATTAAGAGGAATTTTTGTATGAATTCAAAGGCTAATGACATTCGAACCTTTTCTTTATTCTTCTCCCTCTTCTTATCATACCCAACGTCGGGCGTTTGTTTATTTTTTTTTATAATAATAAAGCCTTTATTAATATTTTTTTACAAAATAAAGCGTTGGGAAAAAAATTTATACAAACCGCCTGATTATACCAAAAGTTTGAAACCAAGGTAGCGGAATTGAGTGATTTCCTAATTTTTAAATTTAAAACCTCTACATGTTAAGTTCTTATTTTTATTTTTCACGCGTGTATTCAGCACTTTTTAATACTACTATTTCCTGGTCTAATCCAACTCTGACTTTTTTTCAGTATATATATATATATATATATATATATATATATATATATATATATATATATATATATTCATTCGACTCTCCCGTCGTATACGATGTGTGAGGGTCAAGCAGCTAAGTACCTAAGAACCGACAGCCAGACAACAGCACATATGATTTGATTATAGTGGTGAAGGGTTTGTGTAGAATCATCCACACTTTTTGAAGGGCCGATTACAGAGATCTGGTGCACTACGTGCCACAAGGTCCCCAAACGACCCTCCGCAGGATTTGAATTCAGAGCTTCCTTCTCCTAGACTAGTTGCCATCCAAGACTATAGAACCCACTCTGTCCTGCTATTTACCCATACCTGGAGGAGAAGAAGAGGATTCATACCTTTCCCAAGGTAATATATATATATATATATATATATATATATATATATATATATATATATAAATACTTTTAAATACATTTTCATGCTCTAGACAAAGGTCGCATTTGTTACGTAAATCAAATCCCAGTTGACTAAAGGTGATTATTTTCAAAATCAAATAAAAATAGTGATTGCTGGCAAATGATTCTGCTTCATTATCACCAGCTCGCCGATTGGTATTCAATGTTCTCGCAG